TCTCTCTCTCTCTCTCTCTCTCTCTCACACACACACACACACACACACACACACACACACACACACACACACACACACACACACACAGAGTATGGACGGTGCCAAAAGAAGAACGATGAAAAGTTTTGAGTCCTCATGCCTTGTCATCGATTGCTTTCTTGGAATTGGCTGTTCTTGACTACGACCTTGCAGTATGGACGGTGCGGATATTGACGTGGAGGAGCAGATTCAGGACATCATTGCGAAGGGGATGGAGGTGATGTCAAGCATCGAAGCTCTCGGAGGGGACGGTTTGGCGTTCATGCGAGAGCTACAGGTGCTGCAGCAAAAGGCAGTCTTGCTTTCGACACAAGGGAGGGAGGATGAAGTCGATAAGGTGTTTAAGGATGGTTTGGAGAAACTTATGCAGGATTTTCGCATTGTGCAGAGGACGGAGGATGATCTCGGCGAGGCCACCATGGACACGATCGAGGAAGATGTGGAATACTACAACCATGATTTTGATAACGATGACGATGACGATGTATGGCTTGAGAAAGACATGGATCTGTTCCTTGCCGGGCCCTTTTCATCGTCAGGGAGGGAGTCGAATGGCGTCATTGTGGACGGGTTTGCGGAGCAATGGGGAGGAGTAGGAGGTGGAGTAGGAGGTAACGCGCCGGAGACCTTGGAGTTTGCCAGCATGGTGGACGGAGTTAGGATCTTGCATCTTCCGGCGGACGAACACAAAGAAGGAGGTGCTGCTGCAGAGCAGTGGAGTGTCGAAGGCAGGACGGAGGAGGCCAGGAGGTCAGCAGTTTGGAATGAGGATCTGGACCAAGCTCCTCGGCGCGTTGGATCGGTCTTTGAAAAGGCCATTCATGACGCAATGGGCTTGCCGAACACCTATGTCGATGATGGGGATCTGGTGGAGTCGACTGCCGATCGTGTTGGTCAGAAGGAGTTGGAGTCGCCCAAGTTCTCGGCGAATGCTTTGGAGTGGGCGGATATGGACGAGGTCGATTTAGATAATTTGGATGTGGAATTCATTGACGATTTCGAGAGCATGAGGGTGAGGGCGACGGAGCTGAGGGATAAGGGGAAGTATTCCGATGCCAACGTTTTCATCATGAGGAGGCTAAAGGAGCTGAGGGTGAAGTACAATCTTAGTGCAGGGACGGTGAGCGCTACGAACGTCTCCGAGTTCATCGAAGACCTGGAAGCTCTAAGTGCCCGTATCGATGCATTGGAAAACTCCGGCGACGCGCAGGACGAATCGGTCTCTGAAATGGAAGACGGTATATTGAACATCTTGCAAGACTGGGCACTGCTTGTGGACGACGACGACTCAGATGAGGAAGACGGGCAGCGCGACGAAAATGCAAATGCATTTGAAAAGCAGAAGCCCTTCACGGGAAATGAGCCAGGCAGCCCGCGAGAAGAGGTCGACGATATGGTGCAGGAATTGGAAACGGTGATCGCACTGCAAGCGGAGTGGATGGAGGAGCTCAGCGCGCTTGGCGGTAAGGAAATGATGAAAGATGTTGAGAAACTGAAGAACACCGGTTTGGCGCTAATGCAGCAGGGGCGGGTGATGGAAGCAAAAACTGCTCTGCTGGAGGGGTGGGAGCAGCTGAAGTCTAAATGGGGAATGGAGTCCCTCCAAGAGGACGAAAGCGAGAGCGAGGGCGAGGGCGAGGGCGAGGGCGAGGGCGAGGGCGAGAGGGAAGGGAAGATCTCCCAGAATGAAGGCGATAACAAAGAGGACAAATTGTCGATGAATGCAGCAGCATCGTCAAGGAGCAGTCGGCGGGATGCTCAAGGAGGCCTTGTGAATCAGGAGGATGCAGGTGACGACTACGGTCAGGGAGCTCTGCATGCCATGGATGCAATCACCGAGAAGGTTGGAATTGTCAGCGGAGAAAGGGCAGAGCCATACTTCGGAGCAGAGCTGGAGACGGCAAAAAGGGAGGGGAAGAAGAGCATCATCGGAGCTGAGTCGCAGCAGCAGGAGGAGGAGGGGGGGGGAGAGGGGGGGGGGGATAAGGAGGAGGAAGAGGAGGAAAAAGGGGAAAAGGAGGACGATGAAGAAGATGTCGAGGACTCATCCGAAAATTTTATGCCTCGTGATGTTAGGGAGCTGCGGGTCAAGGCAGCCGAGCTGTGGTCCATGGGACGTCAGGAGGAGGCCGAAGACGTGGTGAATGAGAAACTGGCGACGTGGCGAAAGGAGCGAGTAGATATAGAGACCAGTGTTAATATGGTCACCAGTGGAGGTGTCAAAATGCCTATGTTTGGAGAAAGAGGGCATGGTGTCGCCGATTCTGATGAGAGGAACGGTGTCGAGGTTGGAAGTAGAACAGAGCAGACTGCATCCATGGCGGCGGAAGCTCGTTCAGACTGGACTCGCAAAGTGTTGAGCGAAGCCCATGCACTGGAGTTGCTGGCAGAAATCAAGCAAATGGGAGGGGAGGTAGAAGACGCGGAGGGTCTTCTGTGGAAGGCGGTAGAACTTGCTGAGCTATTGGCCTCCCAGGGAGGCATAGGCGGGACGAGTTTGGCGTTCTGGTCCCTGCGTCGGATGCTTTTGTGCCTTGCCACGCTGCTAAACAGCAGAGGCGCCCACGAGGAAGCTCTTGCCTGCCTAAAGAGGGGATGGAGTGAGATCGAGTCGCCGTACATGGAGGATAGCGTTGACTGGTTTGAGGTGTTGCTTGCGTTCGGGACGGCCTACAGCGGGCTCCGTCAGCTGGAGAAATCCGAGCCCTTGTATCGGAGAGCGATGATTATCAAGGAACGCGAGGTTGCGGCTATGGCTTCGCAAAAAGGTGGCGGCGGCGAAGATGGGGGCAGAGAAGAGAGGGAGTCCTTCAAGGGCTTGATGATCGTCGTAACTAATCTCGCGCACTGCGTTCTGAATCAGGAAAGACTTGAGGATGCGCAGCTGCTGTTTGAGAAGGTGCTGGACATCGCCCAGCAGGTCGATTTTGCCGACTCGATGACGATGACAATTAGTATGGCAATGTGTGGCCTTGCGAGAGCCCGCCGTGACATGGGACACTATGAAGATGCGGAGATGATATTCACGGATGTACTAGATATCTTAGGACCGGAGGACGTCCGCCTCGAGAACCCGTTGACGGAGGCCGTGCACACAGAATTAGCTGAAGTGTTGCAGGTGTGTGTATTTTTAGTATTTTTTTTTACTATTTACTATCTATGCATCTCCTCATTTTTGTAGAAACTGATCTGTGTTTCTTCTTTCTTTCCTTCTCCTTCCTCCCCTCCCAGGAGAGGATGGGCCTCGCTCCACTACTCACCGAATGTGCAAAATGAGAATGAATCTTCCGCTAGAACATGGAAAGATACACCACCATATTTTTTGTCTTTTCTGCATGTGGTGAGTAGTCGAGCGAGGCCCAATATGTCCCATCTCCATTTCCACTTACCGAACTCTGTTTTTTTTTACGCAACTTTATAATAAAGTATGTTTTTTTTAACGCAACTTTAATACTTTATTATACAAGCCAGGAAACGGGTCCGGCGTCCCTTAGAAAAGTATGTGGTGCCACAGGGTGAGCCAGGCATCACTGGCCAGGCTCGAGGAGGGCGCCGCCTTCTAGAATCCGAAGAAGAAAGGCGGAAGGGCTTCGAACGTGATCACAAAATCACACAAAACCACAGCACCGAAAAGCACAGTCACGTGCCACGTTCTGCAAAGTCAATGCAGACAAACGCAAACGCAGCCACACAACCGCTTCTGCATACCAATGAAGATCAACACAAGACAAAATCCAAGCAAAGCACTTAAAGCACTACAAGTCCTTTCACATAGCTACTTGTGCACACTAAATGAAGCCCAGCCCAATGCAAGACATGCAGTGTCTTGCTGTAAGAAGAAGCGTCAAGGACGAAGTTTGTAGGTACTACCGTCTTCAGGCGAATAGAACGACCGGTCATTATAGCTGTATTTGGTGCAACTTTCAGTCCGGATACGGCGTTAAATATGACCGGGCGTTATATTCGGGTGAAGATGGGAGGGAAGACTCAGAGCAAGACAGTTGTAAAAAGTTAAAAACCAATTCAGGCTGAACTACCTGATTTTTTTTTTCAGATTTTTTTGTCACCAGATATGAGAATTAGAAATCGCCGAAATTGGGGTACTCAAAATGTTGCCCCCCCCCCCCCAAGGGTTCGCGGCGCTGGAGCCTGGGTTTGGTGTTGTAATTTCTTCTTGTTCTCGCAGCTAAGTGTTGCATGGACTGGTAGTCTGTGGACATGGAGGTTCTTCTTCTTCTTCTTCTTCTTCTTCTTCTTCTTCTTCTTCTTCTTCTTCTGTGTTTCTTCTTTTTCTTGGCTGTTATCGTCATTGTCGTTGTCGTTATCATCGTCTTTTTTTATTCTTTTTTTTTTTGCGGAATTAACCAGACAAATCACTCCACAAACTAAGAACGGCCATGCACCACCACCCATAGAATCAAGAAAGAGCATCGTCATTGTTTTTTTTTTGTTTTTTTTTTTCAGTGGACATTATTATTACCTCTTGTCGTGCTCATACTTTTTTTTTTTTTTTCAGTTTGGTTGGTAACAGGTGTCATTGTCGTTGTGTCGTTGTCATCATTTTTTTTTTTTTTTTTTTTTTTTTTTTTTTTTTGCGGAGTTAACCAGAGAAATCACTCCGCGAACTAAGAACGGCCGTGCACCACTCCACCCATAGAATGAAGAAAGAGCGTCGTCATCATTTTTTTTTTTTTTTTTTTCGGTGGACATTTATTATTACCTCTTGTCGACGTTGTCGTGCTCATACTTCAGTTTGGCTGGTGACAGGTGCTTGGGAAAGCGAAGGAAGCCGAAAGCCTATTGAAGAGAGGCCTTGCTCTGAAGGAGAGTGCATATGGGAAATTCCATCCGGAGCTGGTGCGCTTGCTGGATGGCCTTGCCGGGCTGTATGTACGGCAATCGGCGCCCGAGCGAGCAGAGCCTCTGCTCCAGCGGAGCACACAGATTATGCAAATGACGCATGGGATGGATTCACAGGAGTTTGGTGATGGGCTTGAAAAGCTGGGCCTGACTTTGCACAGGATGGGAAAGAGTAGCGAGGCGGAACCGCTGCTGCGGAGGGTGTTAAGCATGCGCGAGCTGGCATTGGACGCGGACGACTTGTTGATCGGCGCAGCGTGTCATAACTATGCGATCGTGCTCGAACGGCTTGGCCGAATTCAGGAGGCAGAGGTCCTTTTGTGGCGCGCGCTGCGAATCAAGGAGGCGGTGCTCGGAGTAGAACACGAGGACATGGCACCAACGCTGGAGGCCCTGGCAGGGGCTCTTTACAAATTAGGAAAGACAGATGAGATGGAGCCATTGATTGAGAGACGAAAGAAGATTGTTTCCGCGCAGCAAATTGAAATTCGACGACCATGGGTCCATCACATTTCTCAATGGCCCGAGAGGGCAGGTTAAGTAACTTCCTCGACGCCCTCTCCTCACTCCGCTTATGCAAAAGCTCGCTCCTTCTGGTTGCCTTTTTTCCCCTCTCTTCTTCCCATCGGAGCTCTCTCTCTGGCCAAGTATCCAATCGTCATCCACTTGTCACCGCCGGTCTCTGTGGGCACGAGCAGGGACCCAGCAGTCTCCTATTGTTGTGTATATGCCATCTGGTGTCTGTGGGCACTAGCAGGGACCCAGCAGTCTGCTATTGTTGTGTATATGCCATATGGTGTGCAATTTTGTTCATTCAAATGAGGCAATGAAATTCTGGAAAATTATGTGAAAATAGACGTGGTAGTGATTGTGGCAAAGTGGTGGCAGTTTCCCTTCCATGCAATGAAATTCTGAAAGAGAGACATCATTCATCTGGAAAACTATCAAATTTTATCAACAGTCTTATCCACAATTCTATCCTAAAATAGACATAGTTGGGCTAGATGATTGTCAAATCTTATCCACAACCTTATCCACAACCTTATGCACAACCTTATCCACAATCTTTATTATCTTATCCTAGGCTGGTCCCCGGGCGGCCCGGCTGGGGGAGGGTCGCCCGGGTACCCTCCCGGGCACCCCGGGACAGGAGGGTCCGGGCAGGGTCCTGGGAAGTCCCAGTGCATTAAAAAAAAGCAAAACAAAAAGCAGGAAAAAAAAATAAATGGGAAAGAAAATATGTTGTGTATAATTGCAGTACAAGCAACTTTTGGCTGAAGGTCCCCCCAAAATTCCTTATTAATTTTAAGATAAAAATAACTGAGGAAATATGAGGTAGGATATAGTCTAGTCTGATATACCCTTTTAATTTTTAAACCCCTCTAGTCACTGTTAGAGCAACTTCCCCCCCCCCCCAAACACCCCTGGGTGACCCACCACCGAAATGGAAGGTAAGGCCGGATTCTGACTGCTCAGGCCAAGCGCAGTTCTGGCCTGAAGTTAGTTTTTTTTTTTTGGGGGGGGGGGATCCCCTCTTGTTTTACCTGGCTGTAGTTTTTTTTGTTTTTTGGGATCCTTCCCTCTTTTTTTACCTGCCTGTAGTTTTTTTTTTTTTTGAGGATCCTTCCCTCTTTTTTTACCTGAATGTCGTTTTTTTTTGTTTTTTGGGATCCTTCCCTTTTTTTTGACCTGCCTGTAGTTTTTTTTTTTTTTTTTTGAGGATCTCTCCCTCTTTTTTGACCTGCCTGTAGTTTTTTGTTTGTTTTTGGGATCCTTCCCTCTTTTTTTTGACCCGCCTGGTTTCGCCAGGCGATCCCCGCCGGCTCAGCTGGCCTGGGCGTGCCTGGCCGGGCAACGGCCCAGACTAGATCTTATCCACAATTCTATCCGAAGGTAGACATAGTTGGGCTAGATAATTGTCAAATCTTATCCATAATCTTATCCACAATTTGATTATTATCGTATGCACAATTCTATCTAAAAATAGACATTGTTGGGCTAGATAGCTGTCAAATCCTATCCATAATATTTTCCACAGTCTTTACTATCTTATCCTCAATGATCACAACCTTCTTTTTTTTTTTTTTGTTTTTTTTTTTCAGAACCTCTTGGTTCTGGCTCCTGCCATTCTGGGGAGCAACAGTCCGGTTCCTATTCCCCCGGCAAGTCAATGAATAGTACAATCTTATGTACAATCTTATGTACAATCTTATGTACAATCTTATCTTCAATCCCATCCAGTCTTATCAAATCTTATTCAAATCTTATCAAATCTTATCAAATCTTATCAAATCTTATCCACAATCTCATCCACATTTATGTCTCCTTGTGTGCACAATCTTATCCACGTTTCTATCCAAAAATAAACAAATTTGGGCTAGATAACTGTCAAATCTTATCCACAATCTTATCCACAATCTTTGTACAATCTTATCAAATCCTATTAAATCTTATCAAATCTTACCCGCAATCTCGTCCACATCGTGTCTCCTTGTGTGCAGCAAGTGGTTGGAGACACGATGTGGAAGCAATCTTGTCTGCACAGAAGGAGACACGATGTGGATGAGATTGTGGATAAGATTTTTGATGAAGATTTAATAGGATTTGAATCATTTGATACGATGTGGAAGCAATCTTGTCTGCACCACAAATCTCATCCACATGCGGTTGGAGACACGATGTGGAAGCAATCTTCTTTTCTGCACCACAAATCATCACGTTCGAAGAAATGTTTGTGGAAGCTGTGTGGTATAAAGGCCTGACCAGTCCTTCGGGACATCTGTTAAAATTGGAACGATACAGGGAATGAAGATTAGCGTGGCCCCTGCGCAATTAAGGATGACACGCATAAATTGAGAAATGGTCCAAATTTTTAGTTTTTGCTTATAATTAAAAAAAAAAGAGAAAAAAAAGGCCTGACCAGTGACCAAGGAATTCTAACTTCTCAAACCGTCACCACCTTGGAACCTCTTTTTGCCGATGAGGAAACCAACTGTGCGCCAAGCTTTGCTGAAGCGCCAGTGCGAGGCTTTCGTTCCCTTTTTTTGCCTTGTGCCGCCAGCCATTCGGGTCCGGTAGCCCCAAGCCTCCGAAGAACCCTGAATATTACATTTTCAGTTCTCGACATTGCTTGGGAAATGCAGTCGTGCTTTAAAACACTGATTCACCCAGCTGCTGCTGCTGCTGCTGCTGTCTTCTTCTTCTTCTTCTTCTTCTTCTTCTTCTGCTTCTTCTTCTTCTTCTTCTTCTTCTTCTCCTCCTCCTCCTCCTCCTCCTCCTCCTTCTCCGAAGCGCCATTGCGTGGTTTAAAACACCGATTGCTTGGGAAATGCCTTTTTTAAAGCTCTCTTGCGAGGCCTCTATCCCAGTGGCGGTAAGAGAACCACCAGGATTGAGGCTTCGGCTGTTGGGCGGCTTCATCTATTAGTGGGAAGCGGCACCTGCTGGAAACCGGGTGCAGCGTCCCAAAGAAACAACCTTTAGGTATACACGAGCCTATTTCTACGAAGCTACTCTCTCAGGCTCGAGAGCCTTCAACTGGGCCTTTTCTTAGTGGCTGCCATCAGCGACTACGGCCCAGACCCGGCGGGCCGGAGCCGTATGCTCGCACCGTGTACACCAGTAATAGGTCGACTTAGCTTTGGGCGCACTGGTGGTTTAGGACCTTCAGGTACCTTGAGGTCCCGCTGCACCCTGAAATACCCAAAGTTGCGACTGGGCCCGGGAAATACCGGCAGTCGCGACTGGGCCCGGGAAATACCGGAAGTCGCGACTGGGCCCAGCGATTCTCATCAACTCATGTGAAGCAGGATTACTGACGTTCAGAACTTGCGGAACAGGTCGGCCTGGATGTCCAAACCTTTGGCGCCCCGCTAGAAGCACGTTCGAAAAGAAAGAAAAGAAACTGGCCCTCGTGAAAAAGTCTTCGGGCCTGTGTTATAAACCGGGCCGCCCTGGTCACCTTGTTTGACTAGGCCGGCCAGCCGGGCAAGGACCAGGAAAGGTCCCTGTTAAAAAAAAAAAAGCGAAAAAAAAAAAAATGTTGTGCAGTAAAGTAAACGGAACAACTTTTGCCGCACGGTCGGACCGGAATTCTTTGAGAAAAAAAAAAAGAAAGTAAAATTTTAAATTAAACACATAGTTATCTGAGTTATGATAGTTGTTTATTTTTATTTTTTAATTTAATTTTTGGCCCGGCCGGGCAAGTGGTCCCGGGCCACTCTGGTAACATATCTTCGGGTCCCTTTTTTTTTTTTTTTTTTTTTTTTTGGGATAACTTCCTAGATACCCCCATGAGTTGAGAAACTCAAGATATATGTGAAAATGCCCCTGAAAGATGTGGGCGTTCCGCGGGCGGAAATCTTTGTGTTATGCCCCTGTCAGGCGGGTTTTGCGATCTGGACATCCCCGTTTGGGCCTTGGCCTTTTGAAATCTCGCATAGGAAAAGTTGGCAAGTACTGGGGCATTTTGCAAAGTTGGACTGTACCTGGTAGGGGTATATCGCAAAGATGGGGATCCAACCGATTCCAGGGGTATTTCACAAAATATTATTTTTGTCAGAGGGGCATTCCACTCTCCCCACATCTTTCAGGGGCATTTTGGCATACATATCACTTATGGGCTAGGCTACCAGCCAGGCCCCCCGGGTCCCGGGTGACCAGCCCGTGCAAGGACCAGGGAAGGTCCCAGCAAAAAAAAAAAAAAAAAAAAAAAAAAAAAGTCCAAAAAATCCGAAAAAACTTATGTTATGCAGAAAAATAAACTGAACAACTTTTGCCTCAGTGTCACATTGCAATTCTTCACCAAATTTAGAATAAAAAATAAAATTTAAAAATAAATTTAAATAATCTTTTTTTTTTTATTATGCCACTCTGGTAGTCTAGCTTATGGGGGTATTTTGCAAATTATCCCTTTTTTTTGGCAGGTTCTGTGTGATATGAGGTATATGCTACGGGGTTCTCCGTATGACTATAATTAGTAGTAGCGGTAGGTAGGTAGTGTGAGGTGAAATCAAGAGAAGAATGTAGCTTACTAAAAAAAGAATGACAAATAATAGAAATAAAAAATAAAATCCAGGCTACCATCCGGGCCGCCCGGGTCACCTTGTTTTCCCGGGCGTCCGGCCGTGCAAGGACCAAAGCAGTCCCAGCAAAAGCAAAAAACAATCCAAAAAATTATGTTATGCAGAAATATAAACTCGACAACTTTTTTTTTTCCCCCCCCACAACTTTTTTGTTGTTATGTATCACAAAGCCGGGAATCGCGCCCGACGTCCCATTACAAAAAACAAAGGTGAACCCCCCTGATCAGGGCATCATCGGCCGAGGTCAGGAGGCCCACCCAGTGTGGGTTTAACCAGCTATCTGTGGCTGCAATGCATGTGTCATGGTTTTTTTTTTTTTTTTTTTTTTTTTTTTTTTTTTTTTTTT